TGCTCTGCATTTTTCTAGCCAACTTTTTTCCTGTTTTATGCTTTTACTTATCCTCTGGTCCCATTGGCTCACATGATTACAATCTCCGTTACATTGGTGCTCCTGGTAAATTCTTTTCATGCCCATCGCAGTCCTACGCGCCATTTTCTTTCTGGCATATGGGGGCAGATCCCATTGCCCGTTAACCTCCTCAGTTGCGAATGGGTTCAGTGGCACATTCACTTCGTCCTTCAACTCAACGCTGAGAACATGTTGCGGTTGGCCGAACGAGGTAGTTTGTTCACTTTCAGCGTCCATTGTAGGTCTCTCCTGCTCAACTTCGTTGGCGGTCTTCTTGGAGCCCGGGCAGTTAATGGCGATGTGCCCTTTGGCACTGCACTTGTAACACTCACGCTCGCCATGGGGGGTGAATTTTCCTTGGCCTCCATAACTTCCACCCCACGAGCCACTCCCTTTACCACTTTGTTTACCACCGATCTTACCTTTCACGTAGGATCCGTAGGTGGCCCGGTAACCTTTGCCTTTTCCGCTTTTGCTACCTTTACCTCCTTTGGTAAACTGTTTAGGTCTTGTGCAATTTCTGGCTAAATGTCCCACGCCTCCACAATTGTAACATTTGGGGCCCGCGCCTTTACCTTTGCCTTTGTTTACGGCGTCAACTTCTTCATGGTCCCCACTGTCACTCTCATTGGCCCAGGACCCGTAACTCCACGATCCATCTTCTGGCCACCAGTTTCCGCCCTCGTCAACCCATCCTGTTTGGCCCCAAACGTTTTCGGACCCTTGACCCATCTCGTTGATGTCCCCAATGTCCATCGCATCTTTATTTCTTGCGTCTGAATCGAGTTTCTTCTTACGCGCCCAGTCTTCGCACTTGGAGTATAACTTCTGGAATGAGTCAATGCTAAGCGCGTCAGGCGTTCGCCAGCACGCCTGCTGCCATTCATCAAACCAATCGTTCGCATGCACAATTATTGCCCTGAGTGCGGTGACTTTAAAAGGAAGAGGCAGCGAGTAATCTTCGCCGTGCTTTTCAAGGTTTTCTGCCAATGCGCTCCACTCCTCAAGTCGGGTAACGGTGTCAGTAATCTTCTTGGGCGGCTCAGGGTTCATGGCGTGCGTCATCTTTGACGATAGAGTCGCTCCGGTAACGGCCGAGTACCATTTGTAGACCTTTTGCCAAGCCATGATTCCATCTCCATCCATAAGTCCCTTTAACTTTCCTCTCGCTTCTGCACCTTCGAGCTTCTCGTTGAGAATGTACCATAAGTCTTCCTCCATTTGAGTTTTGTCTCCCTCGGTAAACTCGTACTCTCCTTTGTTGTCATCCTGTGCTTGTTTAGCTGAATTCGCCTTCAAGTATTCGCTCGCTGTTAATCGGCCGCTCATTATGCGTATGATGTCATCATCGTCCTCCTCTGGTATAACTCCGTCGAGCGTCTCCAACTTCTTGTTTAGCATCTTCAGCGCCGGTCTGTAACTCGGTTTTACTTGGGCCAATGCGTTTAAGAACTTGTCGTTCCAGTCTCTGAACTTCGCTCTTTCTCCACTGAAGTTCTTTAACGCCTGTAAGGCCTTATATTCGCTTATCGGTTTACCGCTCCCGTGCTTGCTTCCACTTCCTCCTTTAATTGCTTCCGAAAGCTGACCAAATTTGTCAATCAACTTTTCTTGTACCTCGCAGTTGGTCTCCAACTCGGTAACTCTTTCCACCAGTCTGCGAGCATCCCTTTCAAGTGCAGCATTTCTTTTCGTAATCGCTAACAACATGCTGTTGGTCTTATGAGCACTCTGTAACATTTGGAATGCCTCGGCGTTCGATACCTCCCTTCGGTCCTGTGTCACTCGCTCGTTGATGAACGTTGCGAGTCCGAAATGGTTCGCGAGTAACGCTGTCTGGACGTAACTGAAGTCTCCGCTCAGGTACGCTTGCTCACACAGGTCGTTGAATCGGTTGGGGTCCATGTTGACCCATGCGTCTCTGTCTGCCGGCACATTGATGTTAACCGGCGGGTCGCCCTGCCCAGGCCTAGCTGCAGCGGCCGCCGCCGCCGCCATGGCAACCGCGCTCCGCTACCATGCAAAACCCCGAGGATGGTTCTGCACGGGAGCCTGGTAACAATGATGATGATAGGTCACCTTTATACTCCCGCACGGCGAAGCAAGTCTCAGTAGCTTCAGCCGTTAAACACTTGAGCCAAAGGCAACAGGGTTATTATTCCTCCCCAGTCACCTGAACGCTTGTATGTTAACATCCTGTCCTCCTCCTCCTCCTCCTCCTCCTCCTCCTCCTCCTTCCTCCTCCTCCTCCTCCTCCTCCTCCTCCTTCCTCCTCCTCCTATCCTCCTCCTCCTCCTCCTCCTCCTCCTCCCTCCTCCTCACCTCCTCCCTCCTCCTCCTCCTCCTCCTCCTCCTCCTCCAACATCTCCTCCTCCCTCCCTCCTCTCCTCCCCTCCTACCTCCTATCCTCCTATCCTCCTCCTATCCTCTTCCTCCTAATCCTCCTATCCTCCTATCCACCTATCCACCTATGTCCTATCCTCCTATCCTCCTATCCTCCTCCGCCTCCTCCTCCTCCTCCTCCTCCTCCTCCTCCTCCTCCTCCTCCTCCTCCTCCTCCTCCTCCTCCTCCTCCTCCTCCTCGTCCTCCTATCCTCCTCCTGTCCTCCCCCTGTCCTCCTCCTTCTCCTCCAACTCCTCCTCCTCCTCCTGCTCCTCCTCCTGCTCCTGCTGACGAGCTGAGGGCATGAAGGTCCGTCGAGCATTGCCTCCCCCCAGGGCCGGTCGGCCACGGTGTGTTGATCAAACCAGTGGACCAGGTGAGTCCTGGAGCATTCGCTCCAGGAGTCGCCGGCTGGTAGGGTATGCTGCAAAGAGCAGTGAGGGTAAACGAGACAGCATAACAGGAGGCAGGAGGAGGGAGAGGAGAAGAGAGAGAGAGAGAGAGCGAGCGTGAGGACCTAAACATCAGGAGAGGGAGACGGGAGGGAGGGATTGTGGCAGTGGCAGCTGCGGCGGCCGTGATGGAGGCATGGTCGTGGGATCGCGGCGGCCGTCACGCTGAGCAGTGCGTCGGCGAGGCCACACTCGCCGGGTGGCAAGCGCGAATGCCTCTCTCCACAGGCGCCCCCCACAGGCGCCCCTTCCGGTTCTACGACGGGGGCCCTCGCCTGTCGAGCAGGCGTAGGGCTCCATGCAACGTAGAACGGGGAGCCGCCTCGGATCGTTCCACGACGAGGGCACCTTGAAGAACCGGCCCCCGGGGACGATCGCTATGAGGGACTTGGAGCAGGGTTCCCGGAAACGCAGAACTGGGAGCCGCCTCGGAGGGTTCCACCGAGCGTGGGACAGGTTTGGGCTTTCCTGCGGTGGCCCGATGCAGACCAACCCCAGAATCAATCGCTCCCCCGCCAGTCTGTACACCAACCCCATCCCTTCAGAGTAGTGGGCGGCAGCTGCGGTTCACAGGGTGGCTGGGTGGGCACAGCGGGCGATGCGAGGCCGCGAGTAGGTGCTCCAGGGGAGGGGCGTCCACTGCCTTCGGCTGGCAAAGGTTTTGACTGCGCGGCGGTAGACAATTGGAGACAGGTCCAGAGGCGCAGACAGGCGCGTTGAAACGTGGCACCGAGGCACACATGTGAGGGGGAAAGCACAGCATGTCCGAGCTGATACAAAAGGCCTAAGCCAATCGAAGAGTTGAGGAGCTGCTGGGTAGTAGCTGCGGGACGCACGGCGCAAAGGATCTCTCCTCCCCCTGCTCCTCCTCGTTCCCCTACCCCCTCCTCCGCCTCTTCCTCCTCCTCCTGCTCCTCCTCCTTCTCCTCCTCTTGTCATCGACCTCCTCCTCCTCCTCCTCCTGCTCCTGCTCCACCACCTCCTCCTTTCCCCTCCTCCGCCTCCTCCTCCTCCGCCTCCTCCTCCACCTCCTCATCCTCCTGATCATCCTCCTCCTGCTCCGCCTCCTCGGTTCTTCTTCTTCCTCCGCATCCTCCTCCTCCTCCTCCTCCTCCTCATGATCCTCCTCCACCTCCTCGTCCTCCTCCTTCTCCTCGTCCTCCTCCTCCTCACCTGCCTCCTCCTCCTCGGCGAGGAGCGAGAAACAACGACGGAACTGCCGACTGCTGCCTCCACGAGATTGTTTATTTAAGCTATGGTCGGTAGCAGTCCTTATCCCAGAGCGGGCGGCTAACTATGACTCTTGGGCGGGGTGGACACGTCGGGGCGGGGCTGCGCTGCGAGTTGCGATCGCTGCTGTACGCGCGCGAACATCAGCTTGTGTGGGGGGGTCCAAGCTCCCCCGTCTACTTACGATCGCTACCGTTAGGCGGGGAGGGGGGCAGGATCAGTCAGCATCGGGTCGGTAAATCGAATCGGATCGGAATGTGTGTGTCGAAATGGGGCGGCGCCGCCATGCGGACGACGGCGCCACTGGGACCTGGGGTGAAGCTCCCCCATGGGGCCGCAAAACGTGTGAAAGATGTGCCAAAAATTGGTGTCGGTGATGGTGACGAGAACGGCGATGATGATAACGATGCTGATGATGATGATGATGATGATGATGATGATGATGGTAACGATGATGATGATGATGATGATGATGATGATGATGCTGATGATGATGATGATGATGACGACGGGCATGGTGATGTTGGTGATTATGACGACGACGTTGATGCTGATTATGATAATGATGGTCATGGTGATGGTGATGGTGATGGTGATGGCGATGATGATGATGATGGTGATGATGATGATGGTGATGGTGATGGTGATGGTGATGATGATGATGATGATGATGATGATGATGATGATGATGATGATGATGATGATGATGATGATGATGATGAGGGAGGATGACGTGTTTGGATTGCGCTCTGATTCGCCGAGGAGACGGTCAGCTTAGTGCGGCACTCAACTAGATGCAGACGCTGGCTGTGGCAACTGGGAACGATGCAACAGTGCTTACATGCAGCACGGGCGCCAAGGTTTGGTGAGTCTCC